ATAATTCTTTAATACTTATTGGTTCTTTATTTCCCATACCAAACCTTACTTTAGCAGATATGATAGGTTTTATAATCTTTCTTTCTAATTTTTCACGAGGTGTAGGATTAGGTATAGCATCCATTTGTTCAAGCATTATTTTATCAGCTAAATTTCTATTCTCTTTATCTGTAAAATGTTTATAAGCAAGATCATGAATATAAGCTGTTTTATCAACTCTATCTACAGGCATACTCCATTCTTTAGGCATCTCAGTAGAAGTTAATCTTTCATCTAAATTAGTACCAGGTCCTGCAAAGTTCATACCTGGTATATGCATTTCACCTGGAAACTTTTGCAAAGGTAATTTTCTATTACTTGTGAATTTATTAAGTGATTCTACCAAATCACCTCCTTTTTGAGCTCCTTTTATAAATTGACATTTTCTTGTTCCGCAGATTGCACAATTTCCACATTGCATATTTCTTTTGTTTTTACTCACAGCATGTTGTAAGTTGAGTGTATCTGTTTTGTTTTTACATTTAACGCAATACATTTTTTATATATGTATTTTAATTTATTTAATTTAAAAAATACTTTTCGTAAATAAAAAATGGAAATTATAGATTTATCATGGAATGTGAATAAAAGTAAACGTCAAAATAATGAGTTATTGCCTAAAAGTATAAGAGGGATTATTGTTGGAAAATCAGGTTGTGGAAAAACAACATTATTATTAAACTTGCTATTAAGACCTGGTTGGTTAGACTATAATAATTTACAAGTTTTTGGAAAATCTCTTTTTCAACCTGAATACAAAATATTAAAAAATTCTTTTGAAAATAAATTACCAAAAGAAGTTATTCTTAAACTATTTGAGTTGCAAGATCAAATAAATAAAAACAATGTAAATCCAGAGTTTGTTATTAAAGACATTTCAAGAAATTTAAAAGATAAAACAGATATAGAGTGTCAGTTTTATGAAACAGCAGAGGATGTACCAGAACCTGAAAGTCTTAACTGTATTAAAAATAATTTAATGATATTTGATGATTTACAATTAACAAAACAAAACAAGTGTGAAAAGTACTATATAAGAGGAAGACATAGCAATGTAGATTGTTTCTACTTGGCACAAAATTATTTTGAGTTGCCCAGGAGAACGATACGAGAAAATGCAAATTTTATTTGCTTGTTTAAACAAGATTCTAAAAATGTAAATCATATTTATAATGATCATGTTTCAAATGATATGAAATTAGATGAGTTTAAAAAGTTTTGTAATGAAGCTTGGTCAAAAAAGCATGGATTTGTTGCTATAGATTTGTCTTCTGATCTATTAAATGGAAAGTATAGAAGTGGATTAGATTTATTTTATTATCCAACTTCTTTGTGGAAACAATAAATATATATTTTTTAAAAAAATATATATTTTTATGAAGATCAAGTTCCTAAAGAAAATGGGATAATATTGGTACTATTTTCTTAAATGGAGAATTTTCTCCTAATAACAGACCACTACCTACTGATGAATAATCATTTCCATTTCTTAAATAATAACCATTCGAATAATTTTCACTACCATTCCATGGGTTTAAAAATACTCCTTTTCCTACTTTTCTAATTTTAAATCCATAACCATTCTTTTTTCCATAAATAATACCTTTTCCAGCAATTTTATTAACTATAGCATTTCCAGCTGCTCCTGCTGCTCCTGCTATTGCTGCTGTTGCAGCAGTCTTTGCAATTATTGGAGCAGCACTTGCAATAGCTGTTCCAAGTAATGCTAGAAGAGGTAAAAATCCACCACTTTTTTTAACATTATATTTAAGTTGTGCTCTACTCAGTGAAAGCGTTATACCCTTATTTTTTAAATAGGCTGCTTTCATTCTGTTTATTTGTGACTCTGTTAAAGCTAATTTGTGTTCACCATTTAAATCTTCATATGATAGTTTTATACTAGCATTAGTACCAGATTCAATTGCGTTTTTAATTTTTTCACTCTGACTTGCTGACAGATTAATAAAAGTATCATGGTATATTGTCATTTTTTATATATAAAATAATTTTTTAAATCACTTTGTTATTGCTTTCTGTAATGCTTTATACTCATCATCATCTAATTGACCCTGTCGTAACAACTCATCACAAATAGCAACAATCTCATTTCTTGTTCCAGTATTTCCTGCATGTAAACCAGCTAAGCGTAATTTAAGCATATCAAATAGTGCATTTGGATCACTAGGAAGAATAACAACTCCTTTTCCATACTTTCCAATCATCTCTTCCCAAATAGGTTTTATTACATTAGTGTACTTATAACCTCTAGATGATCTTGGTTTAGCTAAATTTAACTCAGAGCGAATTGCATCTGTTTGATTTAAAATTTCTTTATACTTATTACGATCATCGTTAGTATATCTAACAGGATGAGATTTTACTATAATCTCCCAAAGGCCTGGTGTACCTATGTATTTTTTATCTTCAATAATTATATCATCACCTTCAATAGTTATTGGTTTTTTACCAATGTAAAATTTTTTATCACTTTCATTGTAATGTATACCAAATATATCATCTGATACTTTTTTACTATTTTTAGCAGTATATAACTTTAGATATTCTGCTGCGATAGGTCCTAATCTCATGTTATCTACAACTTCAGGTGGCATGATTGCTTTAGTTTCAGAATCTAGTAAAGCAGGATAATTTGAAAAAGTATTTGCTATTTGATCAGCTTTATTTTCTAATTTAGATATTCCTTCTTTTATTCCAGATTGACTATCAATTATTGGTTTGTACAACTTTTCCAAGTTAGTCTGTAAAGCATCATAGCCTAATTTTTCATTTACATCATCTTGATATATACTTTTCTTTAAACTAGCAAGTTCTTTTGCTATTTTTAATCTTGCATCAATATCTGTAGCTTTTGCATACATTTTTATATATGCAATAATTTTTTTAAATCACAATGTGATCCCTAGATCCCTAAAGGGATTAAAATCAACATATATTATGTTTTTTAATACATAATATATGTTTAAGTAATACAAAATATATGTTTTTTTATTTATTAAGAGTATTATTCATCACTTCTATATTCTGATTTTTGTTAAATCTCATATTTAGCAATTCCATAGTTTCTTTCATTGCTTTCTCTTTACCTTGATTAATGAATGACTCTTTAGTCTGTTCATCTATATCATTCTTAGATTTTGTTCTAATTTGTTCAGTCATAGATTGAAACTTTTCAAGTTCTGAAAGTATCATATTAAATTCTACATCATCAATATATTGATCTGATATAGCTTTAGAAATAAGACTACTTATTGTATTTAGTTTTGCATCAGCTAGTACTTTAATCTTTTCATGTTTTTCTGCTTTTATTGTAAATTTTTTATTAGCTTGTGATCCTATTAGTGATAATACACCCATACCTAATGCTACACCTTCACATGCAATAGCTACTGGTGTTCCAACTATTGTTGTTAAAAAACCAATACCAACAGCTCCTAATGTCATAGTACTTGCTAGTAATGTATTATCAACTGCTGAAATGATTCTTACAGCTCTGTGATATTTTTTACTTAAAATCTCTCTTCTTTTCCTTTCACATTCTATTTTATCTTGAATTTCACTAATCTTTTGTAATCTAAAGTTATGATCTATAGATTGTGGTGGTGCAGATGGATTTTCTGAAAACTGGTTTAGATCTGGATAAAGCTGCTTACATTCATTATTATATTCATTATTATATCCATTATTACATAGCATTTCTTTTTTCTATAAAGAAAAATTTGTTTTAAATCACTTTTGTTATTAATGCTTCACTAAATCACTTTTTACCAAAATTAAATATATCTTTATCATTACCAAAATCAACACCTTTAATATCAGGTTTATCTATACAAGGTTTATCATTACCAAAATCAACACCTTTAATAACAGTTTTATCTTCATCACATATAGTTTCTTTAATTACTTCTATACTTGATAATAAAGATTTTACAGATTCTTTATCACTTTTCTGTTTAGTTCCTGAGTCATTTTGTTGCCTCATTTGTTCTTCTTTTGCATGTTCTAAAGCATCTCTATGTGATATATAATTTACATTTAAAATACCATTATAAGTTGATATACAACATAACAAATCTCCTTTTTTAATGTTTATATCTTTTTTATCGTTATTATATACAGTTATTTTAATATCGTCAGTAGACTCTGTTACAATAGAATTTAGTAAATTTAGTTCTGGTTTATAATTTTCTGCAATTGAAATCACTATATGTCCTTTATCTATTTCAACACCACACATTAAAGAAATGTTATTATATGAATTTGATTTTACTGTAAAATCTTCTTGTGCGAATACTTTAATATGTCTATCATTTATTGCTCTATGTTCTAAATCTGAATTAATATAAAAATTTATTCTATATTGTTCATTATTTTCATAATATAAAAACATTCTACTATTATACATTTTATAAAATGTAAAGATTTTTTTTAAATCACTCTGTAATCCTCATATCTATTTTGTTTTTAAAGTTCTAGCAATATAATTTAAAATGCTTTCACCTTGATGTAAAAAATTACACTTTTTATTTTCATTATTTTTAAATATTAATGTTTTTTCTCCTTTTTTATTTTTCTTTAATTTACTCTCTACTAATTTACATGGAGTATAATGACAAATTTCAACATTTTCTTCAATTTCTTTAAAAGAATGAGCATATTTGCAATTTATATTTTTACATTCTTTTTTATCAAGAATATATTTACATAATTTAGTTTTAGCTTTTCTTAATTTTAATAATTCTGACTTTTTAGGATGAAACAATCTACACTTTTTATTCTTACATTTAGGGTATTCAGAACATAGAGATAAATGTCTATATTGACATGAAGATTTAGTGCATATGAGTCTTTCCTTTACAGTATTACAATAAGGAATATCATGATTGTATTTACATTTTCTTCCAAAAGGGCAGAAATTATCATTTAAAATATTTTTACAAAAAATGGGTAGTTTCTCTACAAAATGTATTGTTGAAGGTTTTCCATCTTCAGTAAAATTAATATCTACATTAAATGGTTTTTCAAAACTAAATTTTCTGTTTTTATTATGTTTTTTTGTTAAGAAACTATCTATAGCAGGAAAATCATCATTAATAACATTATAAGTTGGAACATAATTAATCCATTTCAGCTTATCTTTATGCAGTTCCATGATTTGAACTGTTTTTAAAGGAATTGGAACTATAGGTTTTTCTTTAACTTCTTCTTCATCATCTGATGTATAATAAGTAGCTTCATCAGATGTATAATAAGTGTCATCTTCAGAATCTGATTCTTCAAATTCAAATTTTAATATTTCTTCAAAAAGTTTAAATTCTTTTTGAAATTCAGATATTTCATTAATTTCATCATCATACATTTTTCTTTTATTATTTGTAAAAAATACTTTAAATCAAAAAATTTAAAATGAGTTAAATAATTTTTCTTTTATATAAAAAAGAATGGAAAACGAAATGCAAAATTCATTTTTAAGATCAATAAATGAAAGATTAAGATTAATAGAAGAAAAATTAAATATAATTGATATTCATGATATTGAAATGACTGAAGATTCTGAAGTTACTACAGTTACTACTGTAGTTACTGAAATTACAGAAACTACTGAATACGATAATGATATTGAAATGACTGAAGAAGATAATGAAAATAATGAAGATAATGAAGATGAAGATGATGAAGAAGATGAAAATATTCACATTAAAATATTAAAATATTTACATGAATTAGGTTATAAAGATATAGAAGATATAGAAGATGTAATACATGATGTAATATATGATGCTGATGAAAAAGGTCAACTTGAAGTAGTAGTAAAAAATTTACTTGAATTAGGATATAAATGTACAGAAGATGCAATATATGATTATGATTGGGCAATTAATGATGCTGCAAAAAAAGGAAACCTTGAATTATTAAAATACTTGCATGAATTAGGGTATAAAGGAAATGAAATGCCAATTAATTACGCTGCAGAAAAAGGACACCTTGAAATATTAAAATACTTGCATGAATTAGGGTATAAAGGAAATGAAATGACAATTTATTCTGCTGTTGAAAGTGGAAATATTGAAATTATTAAATATTTACATTCGTTAAGATATAAAGGTAAAGGTACAGATTATGCATTTAATTGTGCAGTAAATAATCAGTTAACATCATCATCAGATAGTAACCTTGAAATAATTAAATATTTACATGAATTAGGGTATAAAGGTTCAGAATTGTTTAATAATTTAGCTGTTCAAAATGGATATATTTAAACTTTTGATACACGTAGTGAATATAAATTCTAATAGTGATAAAGTTAAGCAATGTTTCACTACTACGCATAAGCGCTACTATGCTTAAGTAAATCCAAGCGCATGCGCATTAAAACAAGAAAAATGAATTAAATAATTTTCTTGCGTATATAAAAAGAATGGAAGACGAAGAAAAAAAAAAAAAATAAAAATAATGTTATTAAAATATTAAAAGCAATTATTCGCGCTATAGAAAATGGTAACCTTGAACAAGTAAAATATTTGCATAAATTAAAGTATTATTATGAAGAATTAGCAATTAATTATGCTACTGAAAATTATGACTTTGAATTTGAGCAACAATTATATAAATTTAAGTATAAATATGAAAAATGTGCAATTAGTTCTGCTGCTATAAACGGTCACTTTGAAGTAGTAAAATATTTACTTGAAATTGGATATAAAGTTGATAAATTAGCAATTAGTTATGCTGCTATAAATAACCACTTTGAAATATTAAAATATTTACATGAATTAGGGTATGAATGTTATGATTGGACAATTGATTGTGTTGCTAAAAATGGTCACCTTGAAATATTAAAATATTTACATGAATTAGGATATAAAGGTACAGAAGATGCAATAGATAAAGCTGCTCGAAATGGTCACCTTGAAGTAATTAAATATTTACATGAATTAGGGTATAAAGGAACAAAAGATGCAATAGATAAAGCTGCTGAAAATGGTCACCTTGAAATGTTAAAATATTTATATGAATTAGGGTATAAATGTGACAAAGGGGCATTTTATTCTGCAGCAGAAAATGGTCATCTTGAAATGTTAAAATATTTATATGAATTAGGGTATAAATGTGACAAATGGACAATTTATATTGCAAAAGAAAATGGTCACCTTGAAGTAATTAAATATTTACATGAATTAGGGTATAAATAAGAAATAAAAAATTGAAAATAAATTTCTTTACATAAATTATAAATTAAAAAATAAGAAATGGATTGTACAAATAAAGATGTAGATATTAAAATAGGAAGTTATAAAAGAAGATTAAGATTAGCTCGTTATTTGCAAAATAAAAATAAATTACAATGGGAAAAGTTAGAGAAGGAAAGATTAGAAGAAAAGTTAAAAACACCAGATCAAATTTATTATTAGAAAAAATCACGTGACGTCATTTTAAGAATTTTTCGTAATATTTCATAACAAGAAATAAAAATTAACACTTATTTTAAAAAATCAATTTTTTAAAATAAAAAAATTATTTCTTATCTAAATAAATTATACACAACATGGTTCAATGTTAACCTCGATATTAATATTAATTTATGGTTGAAAATTTGGTTGAAAATAAAAATCCCTCTTAATTGGCAATTTTCTTACTACTATAAAAGATAAATTTAACTAATTATAAAGAATTATAAAAGATAAATTTAACTAATTATAAAGAATTATAAAAGATAAATTTAACTAATTATAAAGAATTATAAAAGATAAATTTAACTAATTATAAAGAATTATAAAAGATAAATTTAACTAATTATAAAGAATTATAAAAGATAAATTTAATTATTTACTGATTTTAAAGATTTGATTCAATTAATTTTATTAAAGTTTACTGTTGTCAGTTATCTTACAGTTATCTTGGTTACTTTATTGTTTTCTTTCCTGCAGTTTCATACTTGCATTTCCTACTTCTACTGCTAGCATATTTCATATATTCGTTGTATATGAAAAAAAAAACTCAACAATTTTATGATTTTACTTTATTTTTAATTATTTTAACATGCTTTTGAGTGAACTAGTTACATTTTTAAATATATTTTTTTAATCTAAAAACTAATGAAGCGTGTCTAATCTTGGTTAATATTTAGCTTTCTCACCTACAATTTTCCAAATGTGGTTGACTTACAGAGACCAAGATCTGCAGAAACCTGTTCAACTTCGTGTGTCATAACTAGCAACCACGATTCGAGAGTGTTTTTAAAGAGTAAAAATGTAAAGTGTAAAAGATAACAGAAAGATAGCCTAAAGAGGGTCCAAAGACAGGTTTACATTTTTAAAAGTACATCTAATAAAGAATGTACCTTTAGCTGCGCCTCCTAATATTACTAAATTGAAAACCTATACAGCCGGCACAACTCAGACAAAAGCTACGCTTGGTTTCTGTTGCGCGTTTAAAACCTAAAACCTAAAACACGTGCCAGTAATAGTTTTTATTCCGTGAAATTAACTATTACTATTTACAATAAACACCAGTTAAAATATTAATGGTTTCACCGTTACGGAAATGTAGTATTATATTATAATAAATTTTCGAAAGGAATGTGAAACGACTGGCAAAAGCATGCGACATTTAAAATAAACTTGAAAATCTCATAAGGCACATGTTAAACTCTAGAAAAATTGCCCGGATTTACACGTGTTTTTGGTTTACGCCTGGATCGTGAAAAACACCTCTCTATACAGGTTTTAGTTCCGAAAAAGAAACTAGAAGTGCCGGTTGGGATGTCATACTTTTCGGAGGCAGCATAAACTAATAAGGTTTTCTCGATAATTTTTTGGAAGGCCTCTTGCATAGAAACAGCTTCATATTTTTTATATTTTTGAGATATATATATAAAAAAAAGCGGCAATTGTTGTTTCTTCTTCATCAAAAGTATTGCAATTATCCATGTTTACCATATTTATCGCATAAATTACTTTTTTTAATCAAAAAATTACTTCTAAAAAATTTTTAAACTTTAGTTTTAAAGTTATTTATTAATTGAATTATATTCCGATTGACGAATCAAAAATATTAAAGATAACTATGTATCCTCAAATATTAATCATCATCATAATCAAATATTAATCATATCATTAATCATAAATTATATTATTATCATAATCATCATATTAATCATAAAAAAATACTAATCATCATCATAATCAAAGATAACATCCATTAAATGTAGAATAAAATAAAAAACTTAAATCACCTCAAATTTTGTTTTACAGAGGAAAAATTCAATCCTTGAAATTTAATTATGTAGTTAAAGTTGTGTAGAAATAAGTGTTTAAATTTTTCTTTAGAATGGTTTTGTACACATTTTTACATGATTTGTGGGCTGTTAGAACATTTCAAGTCCTTTATAGATTTTTTTGTTCATAAAAAAGTGTAGACCGCAAAATGCACATACTGCGAAAAACAAATCTTTAATCCTAAATATAATAGTCATTACACTATATTTGGTAAATCTGCAGTTAAGCGGCGTAAAATAATTTTATTTTTTGGCTTGTTTCAATCTCGTGTTTATAATTCCTCAAAGTGATGACTTTTTAATATGAACATAAAGAATATTTATAGGCTTCAGTATATATATTGACTTTTTTATACCTTTCTGCTACATGGGAGTTCTGCTACATCGACTATCTTATAATCTGCTACTACAAGGGAGTGTTGCTACATCGACAATTTTATAGCTTGCTTCTACTAAGAAGTGCTGCTTCATAGACTGAGCGTTTCGCATAAGGCAGCAATTTTTTTTCTTATATTGTTTTAGTTAATATTCCTAATACTTAAAAAACCTCCATTGACGAGAGCGCAACAAGCGAAAAATAAAATTATTTTACGTCGCTTAACTGCAGATTTACCAAAGTGCTTCAAATTTGTTAAGCACAAGTACTTAAAGGTTAAACAAAGAACTTGATTATACATCCCAACTAAAAACGAATTTATACATTTTGGCAATATGAAAGATTTGATTGAGGAGTTCTCTCGCTGTTCTGACTGTAGCTCACCTTTTAAATTTACACATATTGGAAATAAATATCAAAGTTTTTATTTAAATTAAGTATAGAATTTAGTTTGTGTTCAGCATACAAATTTTCTCATACTTTTTCTTAATTCATGCCACTTCAAAAAAATTTATGACTTAATAATACAATTAGCAATAATATTGTTAATTGCAATATTGCTAAATACTTTCGTGTTTCTATTGACGAGATACGGCAAAAAAGCGTCGTTTCCGATCAGGTCGTTTCAAAAGGCAGATTGTCAAAATTTTGTAAATCTTGTAAGATTTAAAAAAAAATTAGCTAGTTATAAGCTTTGCAAAACAAAACAATGTTCCATTAATATTCTTGAATCGTTAGTTGCTACAGACTCCGCTAATGTTTTTCTTTAATTATTTAGTAAAGCTAAAGTAATAGTTATTACATAGGAGGAGGGGACAAATCTTTCTTCGCTGTATGCTGTTCACTACAGCATACAGCGAAGAAAGAAAAGCATAGCCTTATAAAAAAACTTTAGATACCAGAGAAACAAAAGGCTTTTTTCTAATGAGACTTGGATTTCTAAATTTACGTGCAATTAAGAAAAAGTTGGATGATAATAAAATTTTCTCTGGTAAAGAAAGATTAACTGATATAAATATTAATTTAATACAAAACTGCCATTATGGCCATTTGTTAGAATGGCGTAATAGCCATTTGTTAGAATGATAAACTGTACCCAGAGCTGCGGCTAGGCTACTAAACATCCCAAGGAGGAGGGGAAGCCCAGCGGGTTCAGGGAGCCAATTTTTTTTAGCTGTACCTACTGGAACAACTTTTATGATTTTAGGGACTTAATGGTAGGTTATTGATTTGTTTTGTTTTTATACATTTTTTTTTTGGAGGAGGGCGGGGGGGGGGAAGGGTAAGGGTGGGACTCTAACCCAATAGAGAGAATGAATTTTTTAAATTTAACTTTATAATCAGGAAGAGTAATAGAAGAATCAAAATTTAGTAATACAATTTTATTCCAAAGGTGCACGATATCCAATATAAAATTAATTGAACTATGTTCTACAAAAAGGTTCATTTAAAAAACTATTATTTTTTAATGTGTATTTATTTATTGGTTTTTAAAGAAAAAAAGGTTGTTAAAAATAAATGAAGATAAATCGTTTTTACATATAAAAGTAAAACATAAAACATTAAATATGTTAAGTTTATAAACATCTAGTACCTTTATAAAATCAAAAAAATTTTTTGAATGTGAAAAGCGATCTGCATAATTAACAAGGGGGTTTGCATGTTTCTGATGGCGATAAAGATTTTGTAATTTACTTTTCTCAGTACTTCCTTGGAGATGATTGCATAATTTAAATAATTGATGAATAATAAAGTTGGGTTAAGTTTTTTTTGTTTAGATAATTTCGGACTGTGTATAAAATGACAATATTTTTGAAAATTTTGGTACTTACATGATCAATATGTTTTCTACAAGTAATATTCTCACCAAGATAAACACCTAAGAAATTTTATAACAGTATCTCTTTTTATTATAGTTTCATCAGTATATCATTTGGTAAAAAACGTGTTTTTGCGCAGGAGTGAAAAATAATCCATTTTGGTTTGTTAATGTTTAAAGTTAATTTATATTGCTTTAAACCAATTAGAAATATGATTGAGTTCTTTTTTTAATGTTGAAAAGAGATCATAAATATCGGTATGGGACAACAAAAGTATCATTAGCGAACAATATACTTTCCAATTTGGAAGCTTTGTTTAAATCGTTAACATAAATTAAAAATAGTAGTCTGAAAAAAGAATCTTGTAGAACACCACAGGGTATGCTCAGAGATTCACTTTGCTGACTATCATTACTTTACACAAGATGTTTTCGATTTGTTAAATAGCTTACAAACCATTTTAAGTTTCTATTGTTTAAACCATAATATTTAATTTTTTGGATTAAAATGCAATGATCGACCGTATCAAAAGCTTTTGATAGGTCAATAAACTCTAAGGCCACGCGGTTAAGGTTTTTTTCGGTTCGGTTTTTTTCAATTCATTTTTAAAAACAAAAGTAACGACTCGTTTTTTTTTCGGTTCAACTTAAATTTTTTTTAATAGGTTCGTTTCAGTTTCGGTTAAATACAAAACAAAGTTTTAGAGGTCATTAATTTAATAAATTTAGAATTACATTTTTTTAAAAATACAAAAGAAAACTAGGAGTGACAACGTTACCAGCCGTAGAAAAAACCCTCTCCGAAGTTGCAGAAGTTGCTGGTATACAAAGATATTTTTGTGCATAAGTCGATAAAATTGGGTACTGCAACTTCATTATTTTCCACTACTCAGCTGTTTCGGCTGCTAATCAATGATCAATTTCTAAACCCAATTTAGTCATCGTTGAAGTACTGCACGCTGAAATATCTTGTTTCAGTCTTTTTCTAACTAGTTCGTGGTGATTAACTTGAACATTTTCTTCACTTTCATTGTCTGTTTTGTTGCTACTCGTTGAAGCTTTTTTTTGTTTTCCTCTTTTTCCTGATTCAATATTGCTTCTTTTGTTTTATTGCATTTTTTTATATTCAATCAAATGCAGGCCTTTGTAACGTGGATCTCAAAAATTTTAAAAACAATTAATTAGCTGTTCAGCACCATTAAGAGGATATCTTTCCTGCAGTTCACAAATCAGCATTTTTATAAATGTTCTTGCTGGTTTGTGTTTGTGATGCTGATGGGAAAGAAGCTCTTGGTGCAAGGAATATAATTCAGATATCACATCTTGGATTGTTGGTCTTTTATCGGCTGAGAAGATTACTAAAACATTGTAATTTTTTTCAAAAAATGGACTGCTGTATTCTAATGTCTTCCATTGATCATCTCAGATGATCAGTTTGCAAGTCTTTCGATTGCATCTTTGACTTCAAGCACTGACTTTATGCACATTTAAATTAAATTTTAATCAGAATTCCAACATGTTGTACATGAAACAATCAATTTCTTGGGCTTAATTCATAAGGGTCTTGAAGCTTGGTTGTAGAGAGTACACTTCTATGTGTGTGTAATGCTAAATCTGAACAGCTTTTTATTGCTTTAGAAAGTTCAATTGAATTTTTGATTGCTTTAAGAATAACTAGCTAGATTGTGTGATCATTGCAGCACAATTCTGAATTAAATTTTATCACTTTCTTTAGAAGCTAAAACAATGTTGCTGCCATTGTCATTAAGAGATCTGTTGTAAAACTAACTCGAGTTACTTTTGGAAAATCTTTGAGAAAACTTATTTGCATTCCCTCCTTTACCTTTTCATACAACTCAGGAAGTTTTTGACGTTTAAATGTTGATGCAGATTTTACAGTAAGTTTGCAATTTACTTCATCAATAAACTCTTCTGCTCCTTCATTGTCAAAAAGTTCAAAAGGTAGATCTTGCGAATAAATTTTATTAAATCTAAGTCAAACTTTAATTGCTTTGGATCATTTAATCCATATTTTTTTTTTTTTTAATGCAACTTTTAATTGTAGGTGTTTTTTCTCTTTTTCTTAAAGTTAAGTTTTTGTTTATTAAGTATCTCGTTCGTTTTTAAAACATAATCTTTCCAAGATGCTTCATGTTTAGTTTTGACGTGGTTGGTTATTGTTGTAGTGCTTTCACAGTTTATTTTGTAAGATTTGAAGCAAATTTTAGATTTTGCTTCAAATTTTTTTTGACTTTTTAAAGAATTTTTAAATATCACTTTTTTTCCGCATTTTTAATGTGAATAAAATAAAAATGGTTAGTGAGACAACCAAACTGTATAATTACAGGGTTATTCATTCTTATATGCGCGTTTATTCATTTTTATATGCGCCTTTATTCATTCTTATATGCGCATTTATTCATTTGTATATGCGCATTTATTCATTCTTAATGCGCATTTATTCATTCTTATATGCGCATTTATTCATTTTTATATGCATTCTTGTATGCGTTTTCAAAAGCAATTGTAAAAAAGCAATTTGAACAAAAAAAAATCATTTAAGCAATTTGTTTTGATTAAACAGTTTATTTTTTCAAAACAAATTTTTCTTATTTCCAGGTAAACGAGGTTAAAAACACTTAAAACGAAGACTTTTTACATTCGACGATGGTTTATTTAATTTAGTATTAGTTCTTTGTTTTCGATGATAGTTTATTTAATTTAGTATTAGTTCTTTGTAATTTTATTATTAAATTTCTTGATTGATTAAGTTATTATTTATCTAATTATTCATTTATCTAGATTTAAATTTAATTATTTATAATTATTATTAATATCAAATTATACATCCCTATGGATGGAATAGAAAATAGCAGTACCAATT